CTCGCAAAAGAAACGCCTCGCAAAAGAAACGCCTCGCAGAAGGAACGCCTCGCAGAAGGAAATCCTTGCCCGGGGAACGCCTTGCAGAAGGAACGTCTCGCCAGGGGAACGCCTCGCAGAAGGACACCTCGCCTGGTGAACGCCTCACAGAAGGAACGCCTTGCCCGGGGAAGGCCTCGCCCGGGGAAAGCCTTGCAGAAGGCACGCTTGCCGAGGGAACGTCTCGCATAAGGAACGTCTCACCCGGGGAATGCCTCGCAGAAGGAAGGCCTCGCTGGGGGAACACCTCACCAGGGGAACGCCTTGCAGAGGGAACGTCTCGCCAGGGACCCCTGAGACCTGTCACACCCATTCTGAACTGGTTCTGACGGCCTGTAGATATTTTCTTCAAGGCAAAACCCATATGACCTTTTCAGACAGGTAGCAACCAATCGTGGACTAAAGCAGCTCTGTGTGGTTCTGGGAGTTTCCGGGTCGGTACCTGAGGGGGAAGTCCACTATGGTGTCCAGTTTCTCTCTGGTGAACTTGGTGTAGGAGAACCTCTTGAGGTGGATGATCAGAACCTCAGGGAGGGACCACAGGTCCAGTTTCTTGGTGGCCAGCTGGTGCTTCTTGCAGACGGGACAATACCTGTAGAAACAGCAGTGAGTCCGGTTCTGCCCAGAACCTTTCAGAACTGGAGGACAGACGACGTTTACCAGGGGTTCTCCTCCTCCAGCGTCTCCATGTTGGTGAAGAGCTCGATGCAGTCCTGCAGTTGGACCGTGCTCTGCTGCTGGGGAACCTCCATGCTGGCGTGTTTCTCGTAGCGCTGCAGAACCAGAACCAGAAGGTTCAGGGTCCAGCTAAACATCTCCATGTGTGATAACAGAACCATGGTCCTACCTCGGCCTCATTCTCGTTGTAGAACCTCTTCTTCATGTCCGAGTCCCAGTCGATGGCCACGTACGGCTGAGCTGCAGAAACAGAACCAAACCTATCAGAACCGCTTCCTTTCAGCCAATGGAGGAGCTGCTGCCTCCAATAGGACTTCCTGCTGGACGGGTTTGGGTTTCAGAACCTCATCTGGATCTCTGCTGCTCTGAGGCAGTTCCTCTATGTTTCTATCTATAACCTT